GATTACCGGGGAGAAATCCCAGCCAGCCAGCCTCAGTGAATAGGTGAGGCTCATTTGTCACCAGCAGCTTTCACGGGCTTTGGATAAGGCCCACATTGTGGCGCAAGTCAACTTTGCTCTTCTTTTTTCTCCAACATGCAAACTAACTGCACTAATGCGACCTCACGAAGGAACAGTCCATGCTCTAACATTTTTCTTTTAATACTGAAAGCAAGAAATTGCTTGAACTTTCTAATAATGTAGACTTCTTTCCTAGCATTAAAGCTAATAGCCCTCACAGTTCTTCTCATTTGCCTGGAGCCTGTCTGGCTCACATATTTATAAATGGACAATGCTTCATATGGGTTGTAATACATATAAACAAAGTTTTAAAGCTAAATTACTTTTAAAAAATAAGACAAACACACCCACTTCATTAAGCACAATACATTGTTTCTTAATGTTTCTTAGCTCTTATTTGTCCTTTAATTTTTTTTTTTTATCTAACTCTCTAGTTAGAGAAAGTGCAAATCCAGTACAGACCCAGTCAGGAGTTGTGTAAACTAAATTCTTTATATATTAAATTTGGAATGGAATAGTGCAGTGATGGCGAACCTATGACACGCGTGTCAGAGGTGACACGTGAACTCATTTTTTTGGTTGATTTTTCTTTGTTAAATGGCATTTAAATATATAAAATAAATATCAAAAATATAAGTCTTTGCTTTACTATGGTTGCAAATATCAAAAAATTTCTATATGTGACACGGCACCAGAGTTAAGTTAGGGTTTTTCAAAATGCTGACACGCCGAGCTCAAAAGGTTCGCCATCACTGGAATAGTGATATGAGTCATCTCTTTAAACCACATATTTAAAAGCTCTGCCTCAGTTCCCCTGCTGGATTCTCCTGGAATCTGGTTTCTTCTTTGTATTGCCATTTCTTACCCCTAGTCCAGCTCCTCTACAATCTGAGCAGTAATTGGTTTCTTCAGCTTAGCTTGGCTTTCTATTGAGATAATTGGTTATTTCACTTGCCTTAAAATGGCCTGTTATTTTGAACAGTTGTTGCCTTTTTTAATGAATATAGATAATGTCACAGGATATGGGAGAGTAGTTAGTATCTTTGGACAAAACATGACATAACTAAAATGGCCAGCTGTGGTAGTCTCAGGCTTCTATATAGAGAGTAACTGACCTGAACTTCACAGGTCTTCCTAATACCTGGAAATATTAGTTTATCTAGAATATATACTATTTCATTTTCTCAATTAGGATTGGTTTCAACTGGGAAATGCATAAAAGTCTAACAGTAGCTTCAATAAATAGAATTTTATTTTGAAGTCACATAAATGAGGTCTGGACATGAGCAGCCCAGGGCTGGTATAAGCTGGTGATCTTCAGGGACGTAGGCTCCTTCCATCTTTTTGCTCCATCATCTTCAACCCATGGCTCCTCGCCTGCTGATTCAAGATGTTCTTGTAGCTCCTTGTCCAGAAAGGCAGGGAATTCTTCCCCTAGTCCCAGCTGTAAAATTCCTTGGGGTGTACTCTGACCCAATGTGGGTCTTTTCTCTGAACTAGCCATGTGACCAGGGGCAAGGGACACCATGACTGGCCTAAGCCACTACTTTTTCAAGGGGTATTAACCAGAACAAGGGGATAACAGGGGTCACAATAGAGAAGCCCAGACCTCTGCTCAACATAGCAACCACCATCAACTTCTCTTTCCTTAACTTGCCTTATTTTTCAGTGACACCACCCAACTTTGTATTCATGTTTTTCTATTTACATTTTATCTTCCAAACTAGCACATGAGGCCCATGAAGATGGGGTATTTATCAGTTTTTCTGAATGTTGTGTCCCCAGCACTAGGAGAGTGTCTGGACACAGAAGATACTCAGCAAATATCCGTGGAATGAATAGCCTCCCAACCAGAGTGTGATGGGCGGAGATGGGTCATCAGGCTGAAAAATTAGAACCTGAAAACCTCCAGAACAGGATTGAGCCACCTTATAAATCACAAAGGAAGCAGGAAATGTTGGGTGGTAAAATAGAGGCATCTGGAGTTTCTCAGATACCATAAGTCAGTCATCTACCAAACACTCGCTGGTTCTCATTATCTCTGACAAAAAGGAATAAGAAGAGGACAGATGAGTGAAATAATTCAAAAATGTCATGGAAGCTGGTTGTTCTCACCCCATTCCTTAACACACTTTTACTGGAACAACTAGCAATTAGCACAATCGACAGATTGGAGTCTTATCTCCCTTCCCCGGAGTGCTCTCTGTAGAAGACAGGATGCTGCTGGGCTTCTAGGTGAAAGACATAGAGGACTAACTAGACCCCAAGAAAGGTGAATTTAAACTATGCTAGCCTTTGCATTGGTTATAATCTTCTACTCTCTCCCCAAAGCTTAATTCTGGGTGACGATGGAATCCAATACAATTGTCCATCTAGCTAATATCTACACTAATAAAAGACAAACATGCAAATTGGCCATACCTTCGCTATGCCTTAAGTCACGCCCACCAGCCAATCAGAGCAACTATATGCAAATTAACCCAACCAAGATGGCGGCTGGAAGCCACAGAGCTGGAGCAAGCAAGCAGGAGGCTTGGTTGCCCCAGTGATGGAGGAAGCCAAGCTTCCCCACCGGCTGCTGCCTCCTCTCAAGGCAACCAAGTTTCAATTATAGAAAGTAAATAAACCCCAGATACCTGCTTCCAGGCGCCATGGCCATGGAGCTGGAGCGAATAAAAAAAAAAGAAAAGAAAAAAAGGCTGGGAGCTTTGGTGGGCCGGGGGGCTTCATCAGTCTGAAAACAGCCATCAGCCCCTCACCCAGGCTAGCCAGGCACCCCAGTGGGGACCCCCACCCTGAAGGGGGTGTGAGCAGTCTGAAAACGGCCCTCAGACCCTCACCCAAGCTGGCCAGGCACCATAGCAGGGAACCTCACCCTATGTGGGCGTGGCCGGCCTGCAAACCACCACAGGACCCTCACCCCAGCCGCCCACTGCCCCAAGGGAACCTCAATCAGCAGCCCTGAGCTGGCTCACAGCTGGTAAGCACAACGGTGGTGGCAGGAGCCTCTCCTGCCTCCTTAGCAGCACTAAGGATGTCCGACGGCGGCTTAGGTCTGCTCCCTGCTGGCTAGTGGACATCCCCCGAGGGCTGCCGGGCTGCCAGAGGGATGTCTGACTGCCAGCTTGGGCCTGATCCCCCCCACACACACAGGGAGCAGGCCTACGCCAGCAGGTGGACATCCTCCGAGGAGTCCCAGACTGCAAAAGGGCATAGGCTGGGCTGAGGGACCCTCCCCCCCACTGAGTGCACAAATTTTTGTGCACCAGGCCTCTAGTCTACAACTATATCTCTGGCTGAAGAACCAGCTCTTGCTTCACCTCAGTGTTCCACAAGACCAGCGTGGCCAAGGATGGCCAAGGGTAGCCTAGTTTTCACTTTTCAAACTGGCCATGCCATCCAGCTTCCAGCTCTCACTTGATCCAAGGTTTTACTCTTGGCTCCCTACACAGTCATGAACAGAACAGTCTTCCTGTTTTTCTTTCCCATAACTACTAGTAGCTGTGAGAATGCAGCTGAGGTACCAAGAACATGCTGACTTTTTCTTCGCTTCTGGTCTCCTATGGTTTGTAGAGTAGGGATGAGGGGAACATTTGGGCCTTTTGGAGAGACCTTTTGGTACTATTTTCTTGAAAATCCAGTTTTGTGATGCTGCCCAAGCAGTTTACAAAATTTTGTCATTTCTAGATGTAACGAGTGGCTCAGCTCACCTGAGTGTCTGCCCTCCCTATCGAGAAATTGGACCAAAGCATCTAAATATGAGATATAAATGAAGAAGGAGTAGGAGAGTTTCTGTGTGTATATAACTACATTTATAAGTTTTATGTGATTTATATATTGTTATTTACATATACAGATGAATACATATTAATAATTATAACCATGGCCAACACTTTTGAGCACTTAGCATAAGTCAGGCATTTTTTTCTGAATGCTTTGCATATAGTAACACTTAACCCTCCCAGCAATCCTGTGAGGTAGGTTAGTTGCATTTTACAAATGAGAAAACTGAGAGTAGGCAAGGTAGAATAACTTGGCTAAGGTCATACATCTGACAAGGGGTGGAGCCAGGACTTAAACCCAGTCAGTCAGGCTTCCAAGACATGCTGATAACTTATTCTAAACTGCCCCAAACTGCCTCTTTTTTGCAATATTTATAGTTTGGGGACCTGGGCATAAACAGCACTTAGTAAAGAGACTTTACCAGGGTTAACATCATCCACAGAGTAAGGAGGCAGTGTCTAGTAATTGGAAGAGGCAATGATGCTGATGGTGGCAGCTGTTACTACACCAAAGTTGATCAAATGGGGTTAGGTTTACCTCGGGATGTGAAGACAGGGGTCTGTGTTGGGATCACAGCTTTCTTTATTATGTGACCCTAGCTTACTTTTTCTTTCTGATTCTTATTTTTCTCTTCTGTAAAATGGGGACATTGCTAACCACATCACTGGCGTGGGAGGATGGGAGGATTAAATAATCCTAAATAATAAAAAGGTAATATGCAAATAGACCGAACAGCAGAACATTTGAACAACCAATCAAAGTGTAATATGCTAATGATATGCTAAGGCTGCTCAACGGCTTGTTTTGATGTGCACTGACCACCAGAGGCAGACACTCAACTGGTTGACCAGTCGCTATGACATGCACTGATCATCAGGGGGCAGATGCTCCAACCGGTATGTTAGCTTGCTGCTGGGGTCCAGCCTATCAGGACTGAGTGTGATGGGCCAGACACACACTGGAACCCTTCTGCAGTCCCTCCCCGGCCCGATTGTGCACTGGTGGGGTCCCTCAGCCTGCCTGTGCCCTCTCCCAATGTGCGACCACTCGGGGGATGTCAGAGAGCCAGTTTCAGCCCAATCCCGCAGGCCACTCCCCTTGGGAGGGTGCCAGACACAGGGCTCATGGCTGGTAAGTGCTGCTGTGGCAGCACAAGCCTCTCCCCGGTCGGGACTGATTGGGCGTGAGCCCGTGGCAGGCACAGTGGGGCCAGGATGAGCAGGAGCGGCAGGTAGGAGCTGCAGGTGGTGTTGGACTGCATGTTTCAGCCTGATCCCTGAGGGACCCCACCCGTGCACGAATTCATGCACCTGGCCTCTAGTATAACATATAAAAAACATCAAGCATAGCCCCAGACCTGTAGTAAATATTCAATAAAAACAATGTTTCTCCTGAAGCATCTGGCTTCTTCTCAGTGGATAAATAAAACAAGATAATTATTTGCCTTTCTTAAGAAATTAAATACAAAACCATATCCAAGTTAGATCGATACTGAAAAAGTTGGTCATGAATTCTTCCTGTGCCAGACCTGGCTTTTTTGTTCAGGTCCTGGTTAACTTTTGACCTACAAGTAAACTTCCTTCATTTCCATAGCTGGAATGTCTGCCTTCCCCTGGAGAGTGTGTGAGCTTTGGCAACCTATTCTTCAGAGGCACTGATCAGATCCTCGGAGTGGAGGCTGCAGGGAGCTCCTCTCAGCCCTGCCCTTCTCCTCTCTCCCGTTGCCTTCTCCTGTGCAGAATCTGTGTGTGCCCCGTGAATTACAGCCACTCCACCCCTTCTGAGTGCCTCCCACTGGGGATTGTGTCAGAGGGCCTGGATATAATTGACAGACGCAGCCGGCAAAGGCACTTCCTACAAAGGCATTGACTCCAGTGGGCATATGAGCCAGTATAGACAGTTTCCAAAATCTCAGATATGGAGAATTTTTTTTTTCTTTCCTTTAGGAATGTGGAGGGGACTTTTCCTGAGCATCCCAGGAAATCCACAGTGTGACATTCCAGTCTCTGCAGATGAGAACAATGTCACCCACAGTCCTGATCTTAAGCGGCCATGGGGGGGAATTAAATTGGGGTTTATCTTTGAGTGACCAGAGTTATTTTTGTTTTCGTCAGCCTGGACTATTGTAATTAATGCTAAGACACAGGCGGGAACAAGGCTTTTATTATAATAGGCGGGTGAGGATGGCTTTGACTGACCTTTCTCCTGCTGGAGTTTCAGTGTTTTAGTATGTGCTGCTTGCGCTGAAAAGAATTTATAATCACAGGCTGTCAAAGACAGCCATTGTTCTCCCTGCTCTGAACATGTGGGTCAGCCACAAGTGCTCTCAGCTCCCCCAGCGCCAGGAGCTGGCTGAGAGCGAGAGCATGCCTGGATTCTTCTGAGGCATCAGGAAAAGCATTTTGCATATTTTCATTGCTGCTTTTTTTTTTTTTTTAACTTTCTGCCTCAGAAAGACAGCTCCCTTTCAGAGCAGGAATTTCCCTTCAAGGTAGCAGGAGAGGGAAGCCCGCTGCTCCAGGATTTTACGGATCTGATTCTGTTGCAACAACAAATGCTGCGTGCATTTGCCAGGTCGCATAAACAGGAGCAATTGCACAGCTAACCTCGGGGCTCCGGCCCAGAACAGACATGCGGTTATGGATTCCGAAAGGCGGGTCAAGGTTAAGGTTTTAGTTTTCTTTCCTTTTTTTGTTTTTGTCTGTCATTGTATTCTTGTGAATTCAAACCTGATGATGTTTTCTTTCCCTTTCCTTTGATTTTCTTTTTTTTAAACACTGTGGAGTAGGAGTTCCTGGGGGTTTTTCTTTCTTCAGGGGTGTGGTTTTTCTGGTTGGGAAAGTTGCAGCAGGGAAGGGTGGAAGAATGAAATGTTGGCTGGTAGATGATCATCCATTCGCTAACGGGTTGTCATAACCTGTTCCTACGGATGCTAGATGCAGGAATTTTTGGAGGCCACTGGAGACTGGCTTTCCTGCGATGGAAGGCTCAACGTCTCTTGCTATAATGTCTGTCGTGTTTTGTTTTGTGTTATGTTTTATCAGGAGACTGATGACATTGAGAGTCCTAAGAGGAGTATCCGAGACAGTGGTTACATCGACTGCTGGGATTCCGAGCGTAGTGACTCCCTGTCTCCCCCTCGACACGGCCGCGATGATTCCTTCGACAGCCTGGACTCCTTTGGCTCCCGCTCCCGGCAGACACCGTCGCCAGATGTAGTCCTCAGGGGAAGCAGCGATGGTAGGTGGGAGCCTGCGCAAGCTGCACATCTTAGAATGAAACACAAACAAGGGCTGCCTTGTGGCCCACAGAGGGACTGGCGCTGGGGAGGAGGGACCTGGTAATTCTAAACTGGTAGAAGGAAAGTCTGCAAGTGTTGTTTTTTGCCTTAGACCCTTGGTGGGCTCTGCCAGCAGTTCGTTTGCACATTGCGTCAGTGAGCATATCTCCTGTTGGAAAATGTCTGACATCATTCCTCCCTGGGTCTCCGTGAATCGAGACGCTGTGCAGACCATTAGCTCAGAAAGTGTGCCAAGGGTTTATTTCCTCCGGGTACGAGGAAGGGAAATGTTTGAGCGAGTACCACACTGTGTAAGTGAAAATGGATCGACTTCCAGCAAGCTGGAAGCGCACTCCACTCACTGACCAAAGTCCTGAAGCCTGGGGTTGTGAGACTTTCATTGGCTCGGGTTTGGCGATCTGTTTGAGCGGTATGATACCCAACCATTGCCAAGAGCGATGCAGGTGGCCCTTACAGTACAGGGCACTGCCCAGACTGCCTTTTTCTGAGGCGGGGTTTGATTTGAATCCTGTGGATGTTATAGCACCTGTAAGGAATGGTCATTTTTCTTTGCAAAAATGTATGGTCATGCAACCTGATATCAACGTAATGCATACTTTCCAGAAGCTGTGTTACCTTAGTGTTTCGCACCTTGGTGCTTTTTTGGAAGGGGCAGTGGCTCAGTTCTGCATGTATAGACTTGCAGACAGATACCAAAGCTAGTGGGGATTTTTTGTTTGTATTTTTAAAATATCTCTTGATGCTAATATTTCTAGACACTTCAGCCTACTCTCCAAGATGAAAATTGTCTTTTATAGCTAAAAGATTCAGCTATAAAATTCTGTTACTAAAATAGGTGGCTACTTAATGTGTCCACGTTGAGTCCATGACCTTATGACCAGTGTCTCATTTAGTCCTCGGCACAGATGATGAGGTACTCACAAAGTGCCTCACTTAGTCCTACTACGGGCCTGAGGTACTCCTTTTTACCCATATTTACAGATATACCTCCGAGAGGTTAAGTAAGCCCCCTAAATGGGTGAGTGACAAAAATTACTGTCAGTAAGTAGTGTAACGTAAGCTTCAGAAACTGTGAACCTAAATCACATACTCTTAAGCTTAATTTACCCACACTTCTTTGTTTGCCCAATAGATTTTTTTTTAAATTCTAGAATGTCTGAGCTTTTGTTTAGTCCTTAAACTTCCCAGCAAACGGATTAGCCTCGGGGCCACATAGTGTGTGGTTCCTACAGAATCTCACAGTGCGTTGTGAGGTGCTTGAACACATCCCTAAAATTGTATATGGCCTCTTAAAGTACCACCCCCAGTTTTAGAAGTTTCAGTCCCAAGTGCATGATCCAATTGAGCTTTCATGAAAGTAGAAGGTAGATGGACTTTTACAAAACCTGTCTTAGCCAAACTACTTTATCCGTATTATTGTGATTGTGTTAACAAATTACTATTTTCCTCATCTTGGTTCTTTATAACTGGTAATGCAGATCCTTTGTTCCATCACCAGCTTCCAGGGGACCAGAGTTTATAACAAGCTTCATCTTGAAGGGATTTGAGATGATGGTTGCTCATATTTGTAGCTGTGCAGAGGCATAATGTAGCTAGCAACAATTAAGATTGATAAATATTTTTTCCATCTAAAGACTAACATGAAATTGAGCTTCACAAAACACCATGCATGAAAGAGCATCTTACACACAGATTTCATTAATCAGCCTGATACCTTCGGGCTTATGTTCTTATAAACTAATCAAGACCTAATGAGGTTCTTAAAGCAATGCACCCATTTTTATGTGCCTTTAAATAATTAGTATAATTTTGTCCAAGTAGATGTTATATTTCCTTGGAGTTTATGGTGTTTTTTTAAATGATGCTGATCTAGAAGATTGCACATCTTCATAAATGCTTTCAGATATAGAAAATTTTTTTTAAGTCTTGAAAATTTATTTCTCAGGACTCATAATCCATTAGGGAAAACCCAACTACAAAATTCTCCAATTCCATATCGGGCCAATATGGCGAGCTTTTGTTTTATTACTTCTGAGGCCCACTGACCCATTCAATAGGGACAGTCAAGGGCAATACTCATTAGAGGTGCCATGATGCCATGGTTGGACTCAAGAGCTATCTAGTAGGGATGCTGTGGGTCCCCAGGGTCCGTTCAGTCACTCGGTCTTGCTAGATAGGTGCTCATTCCTCCCTGATCTTCACTGGCATTCCTCCTTAGAGATGGGAGGGAGGGGGAGACACACAGAGAGAGACATCAGCAATGTGAGAGAGACACATCGATTGGTTGCCTCCCGTATGCACCCCGACCAGGACCAGGGATCAAGCCTGCAACCAAGGTATGTGCTCTTGACCAGAAATGAACCTGGGACCCTTCAGTTCATGGGCCGAACTCTATCCACTGAGCCAAACCTGCTAGGGTGAAAAAAATTTTAATTTTTTAATTAATAAAAAGGGTGATCTGTTAATGTTAATGATCTGTCGATTCACATAAACAACCTATTTTGAGACATTTATTCAATATATTATCGATAATATATAAATTAGATATTATACCCACGTAAGATTCATAGATTATAGAATTTTAGAATTGAGACAATTCTAATCCGTTATGATCGAAGAATCATTGTTTTTCTTTTATTTATTCAACAAAAACGCAGTGCTCCCCAGTCAGATGCTTTAAGCAGAGGACATTTCCCAAGAGAAGTATGTCCCAAAGAAGAAACTTTAGGCTGATATCTTGAAAACAGAAATTGGAGTTCTTGTCTGTTAATAACCAGCCAGAGAGAGGGGGCTCCCTTGGCTCCTCTGAGCCTCAGTTTCCCCCTTTGTCAGTGGGGAAACAAATCTCAGAACTTGGCAAAGTGTTTGTTTATAAAGCAATTCACGGGGCTCTAACCATTTCATTATGACACTGAGACAGATATGCGGTACACGATAAAAGACCTAGGGTGGGAAGGGAGCTAAGTTACAAATTAAAAGCTAACAAGTAATGAAATGGTCAAAGCCTCTGAAGGAAGACGGAGAGCAAGTGGCATGAATAATTCATACACCGAATATTTTATCTGCAACAATGAACACTTGTTTATGGTCAGTGCTTTTAACTTTTATAGTCTTTTAAAAGCCATTAAATCATTTCATCTCCAGGGCAAATCATTTCATTCCTGTTTTATAGAAAAGGACAGTCAAGTGTGTTAGAGACAAGCCTGGGAGCCCACAGCCCATTGCTGACAGACCCAGACTGTCAGGACATGAAGAGTAGTCAGCGCCTACTAAGCCCTTGCTGTGGGCCAAGCACTGCGCCAGTAATTCTACCTGTGTGCGCTCCTCCCAACAGCCCTAGGAAGCAGGTGGTATTACTATCTTCACTTTACACATTGGGAAACTGAGGCTTATAGGGGTGAAGTAACAGATGCAGAGCCTCAGAGCTGCTGAGGGCAGAGCTCACTGTGAAGAGGAGCTGACTTGCCACCCTCTCCAATCCCCACTCTGCAAGGTTGCTTCCTCTCTTGCCTCTGAGTTTAAGGCTCTTTTCACAAGTGTAAACCAGTAATCTTCTATTTGGGACTGAATAGCCTCATAATGCTCTCATTGATTAAGAGTTTTCAACCAGCATTAAAATGGTGATTATCTATACACTAGAGCAGGGGTGGGCAAACTTTTTGACTCGAGGGCCACAATGGGTTCTTAAACTGGACCGGAGGGCCGGAACAAAAGCATGGATGAGTGTTTGTGTGAACTAATATAAATTCAAAGTAAACATCATTACATAAAAGGGTACGGTCTTTTTTTTTTTTAGTTTTATTCATTTCAAACGGGCCGGATCCGGCCCATGGGCCGTAGTTTGCCCACGGCTGCACTAGAGGCTTGGTGCACAAATTCGTGCACAGGTGGGGTCCCTCGGCCTGGCCGGGGATCAGGGCTGAGGGAGGTTCCAATTGGGGCAATCAGGGCCAGCTGGCTGTGGGGAGGGGATATGGAGGTGGGCCGGCCATGGGAGGTTGGCTGTGGGAGTGCACTGACCACCAGGAGGCAGCTCCTACATTGAGCGTCTCCCCCCTGGTGGTCAGTGTGCATCATAGCGACTGGTTGACCAGTCATTCCAGTCATTCCAGTTGTTCGGTCATAATGGTCACTTAGGCTTTTCTCTATATAGATAGTAGTGTTTGTTTAAATGGCAGCTTCACTCTGTGGATCCTAGAAATCCAGTGATATGAGACTCAGGAAACAAGGATGCAATATAATTAATTGTTGGGGCTATGAAAGACTGATGTAGGCAACATTAAGTTCCTTTGCGTTGTCTAAAACACTCTTTAAACCAAACCAATTCATTTATTTGTCAGACTATTTGAAGATGCCCACTGTGTACAAAGACACTGTAATAAGTACTGTGGATGATACAAAGCTCTGTTCGCAAAAATGCAAGATGGAAAGTACAATGTGCAAAAGAAAAGAATAGGTTATCAGGCCAGAAAGTTCACAGGGAAAAAAAAGATTCCCTCCAGCAAGGGTACCAGGAAGGGCTTCAATATGCAGCAGTTCTCAACCTGTGGGTCACGACTCTTTTGGCGGTCAAACGACCCTTTCACAGGAGTCGCCTAAGACCATCCTGCATATCAGATATTTACATTACAATTCATAAACAGTAGCAACATTACAGTTATGAAGTAGCAACGAAAATAATTTTACGGTTGGGTCACAACATGAGGAACTGTATTTAAAGAGCCAGAAGGTTGAGAACCACTGATATAGAGGAATATGCGTTTATTATAACTCCAACCTTTTCCTGGAAGGCAAACCCTTGGTTATAATCCACATTGGCCACTTTTCTGAATTCTGATTGTTCCTACATGTCTATGCTCCTGAATTATAACTGATGTTCTCCAGTGTTAAGTGGCTTGGTTAAAGTACCTCAAAGACAAAATGCTTTATAATTCTTATTTGTCAGAATATCTAGCGCAATGTAAGACGTGGGACAACAGGTGCTCAGGAAACACTCTATTGCTTAATTTCGTTTTTCTTTTGAGAGGTGCAGAATCTGAGAGGACATATAGTGCTATTGCAAATGGGTTGCTAATTGTAATTCTCAGATACAGTTAGTCTTACCTCTATTTTTTAAATTTTTATTGAATGTATTGGGAAGACAATGGTTAATAAAATTATGTAGTTTTCAAGTATACACTTCTGTAATGCATCATCTGTATATTACATAGTATGTTGACCACCCAAAGTTGCCTCCTTCCATCACTGTTTATCCTCCTTTTACTATCTGCTACCTCCCCACACCCCACTTTCCCCTGGTAATCACTATACTGTTGTCTGTTTCTATGAGTTTTTTGTTTGTTTGTTTGTTTTGCGGGGCGCGGGGGGGGGTGTTGTTTGATTTTGTTTTTGCTTAATCTCTGCACCTTTTTTTTCACTATCTCTTCAACCCCTCTCCCCTCCAACAGCTGTCAGTCTGTTCTCTGTATCTGTGTCTCTTTCTTTACCTTGATTTTTTTTTTAATTTGAAGGGTTTTTCCCCCCTGATTAAAGTTGAGAGCTTTTCCCACGGTAGACTCATTTAGACTGATACTTTAGGTTTGTTAAGTGAATAATTGAAGGAAGGATTCCCCGGAACCCGCAGATGTAGCCGCATCCCTAATACTGCCTGCTGCCGTTAGGAACGTCACTGCTAGCCTGGCACACGCCTCAGTACCCATCCTCTCTTCCCAGGGAGAGGAAGTGACTCAGAATCTGACCTGCCGCATCGGAAGCTGCCGGACGTGAAGAAGGATGACATGTCTGCCAGGCGGACTTCTCACGGTGAGCCGAAATCAGCAGTGCCTTTTAACCAGTACCTCCCGAACAAAAGCAACCAGACGGCCTATGTCCCCGCTCCTCTGAGAAAGAAGAGAGCAGAGCGAGAGGAGTATCGGGAGAGCTGGAGCACCGCCACCTCCCCGCTGGGTGGGGAGAGGCCCTTCAGGTAAGGCCTGGTTTGAACACGGAGTGGTATGGGGTCCGCAGCCCCTGGACACCAATAAGCTCAAATAACTGTTTCCAAACGTGGATGAGATTACACATGGAGGTGGGCAGGACAGATGTTTGGAGAGAGACTGTGATAATAGAATATAAGCTTCATGAAGGTACCTAGAACAGTGCCTGGCACACAGTAGGTGTTCAACAAATACTTGTCTGACAGCAGATTTTTAAAAACGGGTCCTGTTGACAGAACGTTGAAAAGAGATATGCCATCCATCTCCTTCTGTGGAGACCGCCTGACTCACGCTCCTGTTAGATTAGGTGCAGAAAGACTTATCTGTATGCAAAAAGAATTTTTTATTGAGATGCATGCTTATCTAGGTAAAGCTCAAGTATGTAAGGGATGCAGGGAACATGCTTCAGAATCACATGTAGAAACTCCAATTCAATGAAGATACATTGAACTGCTCAACTCTAAAGGAACAGTGTTTTTCCTAACCTCTGATTATGTTTTCATGCTTTCATTTATTTGGCAAGTATTTATTGAGCATCTGCTACATACAAGGTACTGCCTTTAGGCACTGGAGACCCAATAGTAAATAAGATAGAGTCCCTGCCTTCAAGAACCTTATAGTCCAACAAAAGAAACTTACAGTCCATTCCAATACTTGCAGCAAAACCACCCTGAACATTGCATGGTTATTTCTGATAGTCTACCTTTATTATCTATGATTTTCCACTGAACCAGCATTTTATTAAAAAGTTTTAATTATTGAACAAAGCATAAATTTTACCATTCCAGCAGAAAGGGGTTTTGCCACTCAAGATCAATTTTGAAATAGCTCTTAATCAATATTGAGATTACGGTGCATTGCATTAATTTACAAATGACTACATTTAATTTTTGTCACATTGCCAGGATTGTACTGCATGCGATGACTTTTTTTTTAAGTGGGAAGTAGTATGTGAATGACTAGGCGACGACATGTGGTCTGCTCCCCATGCCAGTCTGTTCGTTTGGTGTAAACGATATTGTCCAACTCACTAGCTACCACGAAACAATAGAGGAAGAGGGAAGTGAAGTGGGGTCTCCCTGGGAAGAGGACCCCACTGGCCAAATGGACCCTGATGGGAAGCCTTCAGATGGTGGTTTAGAATTACCCACTGGCCGTCATAAGGAGCCGCGTCCTCCAGGGGAGTCTGAAGAAAAAGATGCTGCTGAAATCCAAAAGCGCAGGAGGCTAGAGCAAGCTGGGATCAAGGTCTTGCCAGCAGCACAGCGCTTCGCCAGGTCAGCTCTGCTGGCCGGGCTGGCCTGGCGGGCTGGGTGCATGCCTGGGGGTTTGGAATCTCTCTGGTGTGTTGCAGTTTCCAGCCTGTTTCCCCACTTCCGCTTTTCAGTGGTATCGCTGCGCCCTACTCGAGCAACTGGAAATAGCTAATAGTCCCTGCCCTCGGCGTGCCTCTGCTGACAGTAGCTGGCTCCTTGAAGTGGAGGTGAAGAGTGAGCTTCTTGCTGCTTGATTAGACCTGGTCCTACTGTAGTCAGTCATGTGTGGGCTGCAGGACTTCCCTGGCAATAACATTTTATTTTTTCAATGGTTTATGGCCTGTTAATTTTCACACTACTCCTAAATGGCTCTTATCTTACTTTACACATCACTAGAAAATAGCTCCTTTGAAAGGGGAACACTCTCGTTAGAAAGGGTGGCTGGCTGACAAAAATCCACTTACTGCCTTTGTCCCAAGGGAGCAGTAAGAAAGACTGGGTTTTTTTGACTCCTTTTCTAAAGCATGTTGGTTCAGAAACAAAGAATGGCGTAATTACTTCTCTTAATTGTAACAAAGGCACCAGTTAACCGTCCTCATGGCTTCATATGACATGTGAGATGGAGATTTTCACAAAGGCACACAAAACTGGAGTTCCACAGTTTTATGTAGTGTTTTGGGAAGCTGGTAGAATTTTTCTCATATAATAACCACAAATAACCTAACAAATAATAGAGAGACCCAGATTTATTTGACAAATTGAAATTCACAACAGTTTGGCCATTGAAAATACTTTGCTACTTGCCAGTCCATTTAATCCTAAGAGGTAGGTAACATGCCCATTTTCAGGAAGAGTAAACTGAGGATCCATGATAGTAAGTGACTTCCTAGCTGGTTACTACTGACCTCGTGGCCAGATTCACAGGCTCTGACCACAGTACCACATCTGCAGCCCACACGTTTAATGGAACAGTTTTCATTTCTCAATACAATTCCGTATGTGCTCATTGCCATGGTCTACGTCCTAATTGAAAGTTCCAGCATTGACGTCTATGGATTTCATTCCAGAGTAATCAAGGCTATATTTCTCCCTGTCTGGCATTCCACAAAAAGTGTGTCTCTGCTAAACTTGCATGTGCTGCTAGAAAACTCTAACACAGAATTACGCTTGTGTGAAAAGCAGCTCTCTGGGTTTCTGAATGATACAGAGTAATGATGTAAAATCTTAAAAACAAATGTTGGCTCAGAGAACTTGTCAGATACATACTTTTTTCAACATAATTTTAGCATCTACTTGTCTGAGAAAGAAGGCTAGTTGCTGAGAATAGAAAAATGAATAGCATCCCCTCCCTAGGCACCAATTTTCATATAGTTCCTGTTTCTGTCTTCAAATCTAAGGCCCACTGAGAGTAAATATACGTGATTGAGGTGAGAGGAGGGATTTTTTTTTAAATTTTAATCTTAATGTCCTTGACACATACCTTCATTTTTTATAACATCTGTGCAGTCGTTAAGCTAAAATGTAGCCAAAGACACCATCATCTTAATTTTTTCTCATTTTTAAAAAATTGCCACTCTCTCAGTTAAAAAAAAATGTCATCTTTAAAAATTGATTGTTCCATGATTACTAATATGGTTGACAATCATATTGTGTGTATTGGCCACTGAGATTTCTTCTTCCATTAATTATTTCATATCCTTTGCCATATTTTCCCTTTTTAAAATTTTTTTACTTTATTGTGATAAGAACACTTAGCATGAGATTTCCCCTCTGAAAAAACTTTTAAGTGTACAATGCAGTATTGTTACTTATAGATACAATGCTGTACACCAGATCACTAGAAGTTATTCTTCCTGCTTAACTAAAACGTTATGCCCAATGACTAGCAACTACCCATTTCCCCCTTCCCCCAACCCCTGGTAACCATCCTTCCATTGTTTGATTCTATATATTTGACCCTTAGGTACTTCTCATAAAAGGAATCATGCGAATATTTTTCTTCTGTGACTAGCTTATTCACTTAGCATAATGTCCTTGAGGTTCATCCATGTTGTGCAGAATTTCCTTCTTTTTAAAGGCTAATATTCCATTGTATGTATATGTCACATTTTCTTTATTCATTCATCTGACCTCAGTGGACACTTAGATTGTTTCTATGCCTTGGCTATTGTGCATAATGCTGCAATGAACGTGGGAGTGCAGACATCTCTTTGGGATCCTGATTTAATTCCTTTGTATAAATACCCAGAATTGGAATTGCTGGGTCATATGGTAGTTCTATTTTTAATTTTTTGGAGAATTCTTTGTATCATCTTCAGAGTATTCAACAGAGCAAAGGTGGGGAGCTACAGTAAGCTATCTCAGCATGCCCAGGGATCACGGTGATGCAGGGAAAGGAGATTTTTTGCAAAGGCTGGAAATTCTATGAGTGTGCTGGGCCACTTCAGTAACTGGGAGCTTTATTTTCTAATAAAACATTGAAATATTTTATGACAACATGCATCTGTGTACAAACCTAAATTCATGGTTAATTTACAAACATAATTCTGCATAATGAAAATTATATTTATGTGGTAATTTTTACTCCTGTCCACGTTTCCTGTTATCTGGATTACCGTTTACATACTTTGTCCAGCTTAGCTCTCTTAAATGAGCTTTTGCAGGTCAGTTAATGTCATCACACGGTAGATTTTAAGCTTTAACATTTAAAATTGGGTCCAGGAAAATTATGGATATTCCAGGAGAATGTCCCCAATCGTAGTGTGACACAGCTGCTCCAAACACCAGAATTCACTGCTTAGACAGACTTCCAGCTGCTAGCTCCCTCATAAAGGGCTCATAGATACCCTGCCACTAGCCTGACACGTCTGTGACTGTCACTTGCTTTTGGAAGCCCACAACAGAACTGAGAGTCATTCTAAGTTCACCCGCATTCAAGATCCTGCTTTTCTCTTAGCTGGGAAAGTCTGTGTTTGCAGAGGTGGGTGAGAGTGTAGAGGCATGAGCGAGGGAAGGAGGTGTGTAGACGAAGAACAAGGCTTCACCTTTCAGACTCTTTTTCCTGTTGATGTCGCTCTTTCTCAAACACCTCCTTGTATTATTTTTTGACACAATATGTAGACAGGAGTAGAGGTGCCTGGTATTCCATTTTCACATGAGTTTAGAAGCCTGGGAATCCCAAGCCTCCTGTCAAACAATATATCAGCTATCTTAGCACCAAGGCACAGAAAGTGGGCCTTCTTAATGAATGGGGGGAGTTAAATCTTCGTTCATGTTGCCATTGAAGTCAAAAGTACAGAAGCCGCTTTTTCTTCTCTTTTCGTTTATGATTCCGTTAGCTTAATTACCCCCCAAATCTGAGACTCCGCCGAAGAAGCCAAGATTTCTGTTTTTAAGGGGATAAAATAAGAACCAAGATTCCCTTCCCCTGAATTAAAACACTGCGGAGATTTGAGTTCTCCGCCGTGGTGTTTCCCTTTGGAGACGTAAACTTTTCTTGAGCTGAATTATAGGTTTCACGTGATTGTGCTGCTTTCCTAATTGTTTTCATATGTTTCAGCACTCGGTGTTTTCTGCTGGTCTGTGGATCTTCGCAACCACACAGTAATTAATTACGGGGTGGGGGGCGGGAAGAGCCCTCTGAGGAACAATAGCCGTTTAGAAGTTTGCAGAGGAAGAGCAGATGCAGCTGAGTGCCAGATGCCCGGGGCCCTGACTTGCCTAACAGACCCTGGGGATCAGGGGCCAGGCAGACACGGAACTTGCGGAACTTGCGTGAACTTCTGTGACTCTGGATGTCGCTGCCCTGTTTGGGCACTGGGTGAAACAGGGATGTTTTGGTGTTGCCCATGACATTCCCAGGAGGCCTAACAGGCTTTTCTGGAGAGCCCAGTTTCTTTGAATAGAACGAACTGACTGCCAATCTGAGTTGGTTGCTTGTGTGTTGCCAAGTAAAGTGGAGTGAAAGAAAATGCCAGCCCTTGCTTCTTTTAAAGCATTATCTCATTCACTTTGAAATATATAAGCCTTGGAGACAAGAACCTTCTCTCCCTACTCACCTGCTTAGAGCCCACAATCCCTGCTACGAAGATAGCCTGACTGGTTTTAGATGAAGATGGACAGGGTTGCCCAGCTGGAGGCAGGGCTTGGCATTTCTCATTTCATGCTGGACGGTGTTCTTTCTAAGGGAAGCAGTGAGCTGTGCCCGCAGGGCAACCCCTTCTTCCCAGAGCAACTCATCTATGAATGACTTAGAAAAAAAGCAAAAGTGCCAGACCTCCCCATGAATATCAAGCCAGACAGCCTGGGTCTGCCTCTTAACTTGACTTAATTTACCCAAGTTCAGACGCCTAGACAGAAATCTCAACATTCTCCTCTGCAGAGTGGGTATCAGAATTCCCATCTTGCGTTTAGTTGTCATGAAAGTTAGTATGTCTGCAAGGTATTAGCTGTCCAGAGAGTTGTCATTATTGAAAAAATAAAGTAGATTGTACTGAAACTTCACAATTGACTGCCCCAGCGTCCTTCGGGGGAAAAAGAAAAGCTTATAGAAAGTCATTTAAACATCTCGGTAACTAGATGTAATGAACACAGTCCTACACATCTACCTGATGCATATGGCCAACAGTGCAAGCCCAGAATTTGTGTTCATATTTTTTTCCTTGCTCTGATCTGCCTTGAAGCTCTGAATTTACAAATTCAAGCAATTAGTGGAAAATCAGTCATTGTGACCAGTTTTTCAAGCGGGCAGGGAGTGGCTTTAAGTGGCCAATGATACGGAAATCGTTCTTCACCCCCTTTTTTTAAGTCCATGTATCTCAACTGAGATCACTTAGAGGGATTCCTGCCACGCTGGGCATTTAGCCTAAAAAGAAACACCCCAGGGAATTTGTAGTTTAACTGGGCTCACATGATGCAAAAGGCACCAGATTCTCTCTGCTTCAATTGGCATCACAAATTGGCACGGCCTTTTGCATAAATGCATAGGTTTTATTCCAAAGCATTCTGCCTGTGTGGGGGAGAGATAGAAATATAAAATACAAAGAATGTTACTCTTGGCCTTGAGAGGTCCAAGCCAGGGGTCTGCTACCACACTGGAACGGCAGTTGGATCAGCGGAGAGGAGATGATGAGTGTGGAAGGGCCTGTACGTGGTAAAGTGCTGTGCAAGCATTGTAACGTATGACTAGTTAGCATTCTACTTTCATTCATCCTGGCTGAACGTTGCTCTCTGGAACCAGCAACGCAAATCAAAATGCCATTCTAAGCAGGGCTCACAGGATCCTTTTATTTAGGAACCAAAATACTTCCCTTTCTTCTCTTCCCATAGTAATGATAATGCCTTCATTTTTGCGTGGTGCTCTGCTTTCCATACCGTTTCTGTCCTGGTCCTTTGTTTAATGAACAGCACAGTGGTTAAGAGGCGGACCCCCGGAGCCAGGCTGCCCGGGTTTGAATTTTAACTTAAGCACTGACGCTTTGACCTTGGGCAAATTTACCCACTCTGAGTTTTCACTCTATAAAATGGGGATGCTAATAACACTCACATGGCAGAGTTAGTAGTCGGGTTTGATGAATTATCACTTAGAAAAAATTCTAACACGTAGTGTGCCTTCAATAACTGTTAGCTGCCGCCTTTGCCTTCATCGGTGTGCTTTCTTAAGTAATGCCTTTTTGAAGAGATTGATTCAACAGCCTGTCATTTTCCCACTGGCCATTCTTTATGGCCACAGTCAACCAACACCCGCTGGTACTTGACAGACAACGTTGGCAAGGAGGCAGGAAGGAGCGTGGGCTCGGTCCAGGGGTGCGCAGATGTGATGCTGTGAGTCAGATGTGCAACCCGCAGGGCAGAGTCTCATAGTTCATGAAATAAAATAGTTCAGGGAGCAAAGTGGCACCAACCACCTCCAAAGAACATGTTTTAAGATTTTATTGAGAACGATGATCGGCAGAGGGAAGGAGTGTTCTGGGCACGATGGATGATGGTTTAATTTCCACAAGTCAGAGGGAGTGAGGGCCTGCTGTGGTCTTAAGATGATGACCTCCTCTGGAGCAGTGTGGGCAGAGCAACAGATGGGGGGAGCAGGGTTTGGGGGTGGGGGGGACACCTAGTTGACCAGAGAACACAGAGTTTGGTTACTCATTTTACTCTTAGTCAGGCTAATTACTCCTGTCTTCATTTCTGAGATGAGTTGTCCTTTGAGGATGAAGAATTTACTCTTAATCCTCTCTCAGAAATTGGATACAAAGTAGGTGAACTTTCTTTAGAAGTCAAAATATTTTTTTTATTTATCATCTTTATGACCATCAGATAAATGTTTTTTTAAGGTTTTAACAAGCATTCATACTTAGAAACAAGGTTGGCCTTATGAGTAGGGGGAGAAGTGTTTGTATGAATACCAGATAGGCACAATCAATTGTATTCCCATCCCACCTACCGCCAACAATAACAAAAAAACACACAAAATAAAGTAGAAAAGTCCTGATATTCTACCATTAAACTACATTCCTTTAGGAATTTGAAGTTTGGGGGCTTCAAGATCTTTTTGAAATGATAGCCCTAGGTAATCATGTTTAAGCCATTGTATCAAAATGTCTTACTTGACATCTAGCATTTGACAAAGAGCTGGGCGGCGGAGAATCGCGTGGGTAGAAGTTGGAAGAAAGCAGAGTAGGCTTCTATGCCTTGGGTCCATCCTGTGAATGGTCATAAACATTTCCACATGTTTCAGGTTAGTTCAGCTCAGCAGGATGACCTACCTTAGCCTTGCAGTCTGGTACACACTCTAAGTGTGCTATCACGTGGCTGCATTCATTAGTTTTCCCCCAGATCAGTGTCTTGGTGGCTCAAGTGTTTGCCCTGTTAGTCAACAACAATTTGAGGACCTATTGGGTCTAGTACTAAAGTGCTAAAGGAAAATGAACAAGAGCAAAAAGCTTCCTACTCTTTCAAACTTAATGGAAAGAATTGGGATAGTCACTTTCAGAGCCATTTAGGATCCTGCCTTTCCAATGTTGACGGACTCTGTAAATGCAATGAGTTTTTAGTATTGCTAGTAGCTGGCTAAATTCAAGGCTTTAGAACCCACACTAACTATGATGCAACTCTGAACTAAAATGGCAAACAGATGTCATCTGAACTAATGATATTGAGAAGACGTTTCACTAACAGCACAGTTGCCTGTGTGGAGATGCGGATTTAAAAAAATTTTTGTCTGGTCACATGTGGAGTTCTGTTTAATCTTGCTCTATCAGTCAAAAGCAATTAAACGATGAGAAAGAAGTGATTCGTGATATTATCCTTCGGGAAGAAAACTCTATCCTGACCCACCGACGTGGCAAAGTTTTAGAGTCAAAAGATGAAATTGCATGTCGACTGCCTGACCTTGAGAAAGATGACTTCGCTGCGAGAAGAGCCAGGATGAACCAGACCAAGCCAGTGGTGCCACTGAACCAGCTCCTCTATGGGCCTTACCGGAGAAAAGAGGCAGAGAAATCAGATAGCAGCAAACAGCTCTCAAAGGGAATCTCAGAAAAGAAAAGTCTAGAACATAAAAGGTGTGCACTGTGTGTGTGTGTGTGTGTGTGTGTGTGTAAGGGAGAGAGAACATAAGTGAAAGTGATTTGTATCATAGCCCTCCCCCATTCCTCTCTTTCCTGCCCCAATTACGAATAATTGGTAATGGTGGTCTATTCTGAAGTAGAGCTCCAGATACCTCGTCTCCCCAAATGCAGTGGCAGAGAGTGAAAAGGCCGTGTCCAAAATAGGGCTGAATTCACCAAATAAGCTTTGATGTGCCTTTTCTGGGCACATTACCACATATGGGTGCCAGTGCATAGAGTGGCATTATTGGCACAAATAGACATGTGCTGTTGCTACTGGGGATCACCTATACCAGTGGTTCTCAACCTTGGCTGCACATTAGAATCACCTGGAATCTTTTTAAAATCCTGATTTCTGGGCCTCATCCTGTGGAAATTCTGTTTCTTTGTTATGGGGTGGGGCCACACATTAGTAACAAAGAAACAGAATTTCCGGAGGATGAGGCCCAGAAATCAGGATTTTAAAAAGATTCCCAGGTGATTCTAATGTGCAGCCAAGGTTGAGAACACTGACCTATACATTTGAGGATAGATATTTCTCATTAAAAAAAAAAAACAACCTTCTCAAACATATAGTTCTATTGTTCATAACAATTCTGGTAGGGGTTTTTTTCTAAATTGTTTTTAAATGAATTTTCTCCTCCCAACTTTTCTCCCATCCTCTTAATTTGGAAAAAGAAATTTGTAGAAGAATTGGATTCGGCTAGTGATTTTTATCTAAGAGGGATATGATTTCATTTAGGGTATCCAGTTGCTAAATTCCACAGTGCAGAGTTGATCAGTCTGTATTTTTTCCTTATATCAATCAAAATCAGTTAGAGTTTGCATCCTTAGTATTTAACTGCCATCTTTTGCCTATCACTTGAGAGGTTTGTAAGTCTATTGAACTAAAAATATAAATATCTCAACTATGTATTACACAATGAAAATAGTTCTTTGGGCAGAATCCTTGAGTTCAGTGGAGTAGTTAGTAGGGTTTTTTTTTTTGGTCTGTTTTGTTTTTGTTTTGTTTTGTTTTAGGAAGTACCAGACACAAAACACCTGAAAGATTCCCGGATGTAGAACAGGTATTAGCGCACAGAAGATGTGGCACGATTTTTTATAGGACATAGTATAGCTTCAGGAGGCTCAGTCTTTGCGGTTCTTGTTGGCAGGCCTTGTAACAAACCATTCTAGGAGGGCCTTTGGGGAGGGATCAATTGTTGCAAGAGAAACAAAGACTTCTGGATAACTGACCAGCATCAAGGCTTATTGATGGGGATCAGCAACTTGAGTTAGGAAAAGGAGTAGCTTTTGTATCTCCCTTTTTTCCTTTCTCCTGCATGCAATTTTAATTCCTGATATTTCCAGCTTCATTTGTCTGTTGTCATCTGACTCTATGTGTAGGGACACAGTTCTGGGTCTGGGACAGCCCATGACCTCTCTAGAGAGCATCAAAGAACTGAGGGAAAACAGAAGGCTTCCTGGTGGCTCTTTGCTATGCCCTTCCTTGATCCCCTTTTCCAAACTACAAGTAAATAGAAAATTCTGTGGCCTTTCTATTTGCCTTGGTTCTGCAAATACATGAAGTCATCCAGGTAACAAAAGAATACCTCTTGGTTTTCTGCCTTGGATGATAGATTTTGAAAAAGCAAATAGCCCTATTTATGTATAATTTTTAGATTTCTGTCTCAAGAAACATATTTAGTTGGAAACTGAGTTTTAATATGATAGGATGTTTATGATAGATAGATGCCACAGCTTTGGTTTAAAGTACAACATAGTCAACTTCAGACATCTAATGTTCACTTCCTAGGAGAACAATTGAAACTCTCAGTTTTAGCATTAATAGTAAAAGCAAACAGTTATTAACACATGAAAGAAATGGGTATTAACATATAGATCAAGGAAAAGAGGATACACTCTATTTGTTCAAGTTGACGTTAGCCAAACCCAACTAATGCTATCAGGAAGCAGAGGCTGAGTTTGAACATGGAAACTTTCTGGTCAGAAAGGACTAAAACACGCTTTCTGGCAGATGTGGGTTTGTGGTTGAGATGTTTTAGTATGTGAACAACATTCCAGCTACCTCCAAACTAATGCTAGCATTTGGATCATGCAGAGCCCCTTACTAACATTTTACTGGTGCAGTAAAAGAGAGTCCAAGAGGTCTCAGGGATTCGTTCTATCTGAAAACTTGACTTCATTATGGTAACTTGGATAGCGTGGGAATTGGGCATCAGGACTGACAAACCGAAATCTCATTACCGCCCTTAGTATTCCAGCGAGCCCTGGCTTCTCTTCCCAAACTGAACTAGAGATCGTCATCTGGTGGGAAAATTTCCTTCTCATTACAGAGTCAAAAGGGCAAGGTAGGCGAAAGTAATCAAGGCTCCAGTTGAATCCGTAGTTTTTAAGAAAGGGAAAGGTTCCTCCATCATTTCGTTCAGCCTCTGAATTTCCACGCTTGACAATCTGTTTGTCTGCTCCCCTTCCTTGAACTTTATTTTTCCGATGATGTGGGGGCCTGGATCAAACTGACAGAAACCAGGGTCAGACAGAAGCGCTGACGTCGGTAGTGACCTGTGCTATGCGGGCTCAGGGGAGTGAACCTGCGGAAGAGGGACTCAGGAAAGTGCCGGATATTTACAAGGACGACCTGGCCCAGCGGAGAATTCAGGGCAGGCTGGCCCCTCACCGCGAGGCCCCGAGCTTTGTCAGTGTCTCCAGTATAACAGAAGCCGACTGGGAGACGTGGGAGAGACTGAAAGTGTCAGGCAAGACGAGGTGTGTTGTGTTTTCCTTAGTTTTCCCCTGGCGGCGCTGTTATTGAACTTTGAAGGAATTGAATGCTTATCCTTCTATCATATTTTTATTTTCCTGGCTGGAAATGCTGAATGCCTCTCACAACACAGAGTATATTCTGCATGAGATGAAACTTATTAATACAAAAAGTTGCAAGCCTCATGGATGGAAAACCAACTTATTGCGAGTGGTTATTTTGATAGGCTTGTTTGCTATAAGGAATTTGAACTTGATTTTTTAATAACTTGAATATTTCATCATCCCTAAGATTTTCTTACGCCATCAATTATGATGTTGGAAGTGAGGTTTTGAAAGTGATAGATACTTAAAGCCCTATTTACCTAAACAAGACAGGGATCATTTTTTCATTTGATTGACTAATGGAAATGTAATTCTGCTCTAGCCAGAGAAGTATTTTTCATATATCTAGTACTTTAAAAAAAAACACAATAACAACAGCAACCTCTTATTGACTTGTACTTGCCTTAGAAAGCTTTAGAACTTATTTCCGGTTCTGACTAGGGATGACGATGTTGAGCACATCTGTGCCCCTGAGCCTTCACCAGAAATCACAGCAGAAACCGCCATCCGGGACGACTTTGCCAGCCGCAAAGCAAGGGCCTATAAGAAAGCTTCCGGCCCCAAGCAAAAGTTTGTGCACTTTGGACCCGTGACAGAGATAGATCAGCAGAAATGGAAGCGGCTCAGCATTGGCAAGGCCGGGCCTAGGGCGGAGGTAGAAGAAGTCATCAGTCACAGCCGCCAGGGTCAAACGGGCTCTGAGCCCCCAGCCTCAGCGGCCACGCCCAGCCCAGAGGAGGACCAAATGCTCAATCCACAAAACGACTGCAGGTATTTTTCATCAAACATGTACAAGGCGATCTGCATGGGAGTCACTGCTGCTTTTAGAGGGTTTGCTGAAAGAAACCTCCAGAGACAACATAGTTTCAACAGGCTTTTTGCTGGTGAGCAGAAAAGTGATGTTAGCGTGTCACCCTGGGGAGAAGCATGTGTGTGAAGTTAAATGGCAGGCGTTCGTTTTGATTCTGTTGTCACCAGAATCATGGCCCGGGAATGTCAGTAATCTTGGCAAATGACCCTTTTCCTTCAGCTGCATTAAGCGCTATTAGTTGGAAATGCTGAATGAGCCACATGGAATGTTTTAATGATATCCCTGGGGTTTCTTCTAAACATGTATTGATAAAAATCAGGTTTACCTACAACTTCCCTCTTTGCTCTCCCCAAGAGAGAGGAAAAAATAGTTATCAGTATCATAAGTTCAAAATTTGGACATCTAAGCAAACACACAAAAAAAGTAAAGGTTTCCTCCCTTCCCTGCTCAAAAACACTATGCGATAAGTCTTGAGTGAAAAAAAGACTCCTCTCCTGGGGGTTCCTATGGGTCACGCATTTCTTTGGATGCATCACCACCCAAATTTGTGAGGGACCACCTGGGAAAAGCGCTCTCATCTCCACTGGAGGCCTTCCAGCTTTAAATTCCCAAGCCCTCTTCTGGGGACTCAGTTCTGTGCGCTGGTCTCTCTTTCATTAAGCAGGTAGGGGACACTTATAAGACTCTTGATCTCCTGGGAACCGCACTCCACCTGCATGATAGGAGCACAGTGAAGCTCTGCATGGCAGGAGGAAATGCTCAAGGCATTCTCCTCGGTCCTTGAAATCCCAAGGAAACAGTAAATCAAGCATGTCAAACCTGTGGCCCACAGGCCGCATGCGGCCCACAACGAATATTTTTGAGGCCCAGCCAATATAACGGTATTTAAGAAACGTTTTTTAAAAAAATTTGTAATTTAATTTTTACAATATCCTTTTATACATAATTATTTATACTGAACTACAACGTCCCCTAATGACTGATTGATATAATCGTGTTGCATTCCTTTCCCTTACACACCTTACTCGCAGGCGCACCATTTCTATCGAATATTTTAGTAGCCTGTTGCCACGTCATTCGTCTTGGACTGACTTGTTTGGTGTGTGCAACAGGAAATATTTCGCTATCGGAGAACAAGTAAAATAGGTTTATTTGCATTACACTTATTAATTTGTGCAGTTATTCGGTGTTTGGTTAGTTAATGTTCAAGAAAAAATATTAATTTTTATTAAAATGTTTTATTATTTCATGTTAACAATTACTCATTTATTTTAGCCCTTTGTATTCATCATGTCTCTATCTAAATAAACCTATGTTTCTATGAAAATTAGAGCTTTTTTTTTTTTTTTTGCAGCCCACATAAACCTAAGCCTTGTTTATTTGGCCCGTGTTAGCCTTTGAGTTTGACATGCTTGAGTTTGAGTAGATGATCCATGACAGAGGGGTTTCTTTGGTTCCATACTGTGGGTGACACCATGGAGGAGAACAGGCTTTAGCACGAAATAATCAACCAGAAACACACAGTTGGGGTTTCAGAAACTGAGGGCGACCTGTGATGGAAGAGTGGGAGTTAGGAATTAATGAGAAATTCATCTTTGAGTCCTTGACTGCTGAAGGGCCGTCACTCAACCCCCTTAGGCTTTTCTGAGACCCTTGCCAGCGTCCACATTGCGTTATCTCAATTTGCATAATGTCATCTTTACTAACTGGCTTTTGGAATGGGATCAGCTGAACTCTCTTAATCTTTCATCTCAACGGCTTTCGTTGTCTCCTTTCATGACTTTTTCCTCTTCTCTCTTGACACCAATGCCACTTGATTATCAGCAGAATAGTGAATTCTGGCATAGATGACTATTGCAGAGGGGCCTCGCAGCTGGCTCCCGTGCTGGAGTCCCAGGAGGAGCATGTCAGCAGTTTGGGCGCGTGCCCAACGAGGACAGAGGAAGGTGAGGAGCCACGTTTCTTCCCTCCCTGGGAGGTGAAGGATGACAGGTGGGGTCGAGGCCTCTGGTGTGAATTTTTTCCTCGTAGTAAAGCTGTCCTCTTTGGCTTCAGTTACATCCAAACAGCTGCCACAGGATGGCAAAGAAGAGAGAGGAGTTGCTCAAAGAGGTTCTGAGATGCCGCCAAAGGCTGAGAGATGCGAAGAGAGCGGCCAGCCACTGTGAGCGCCTTGCCTGCATTCCAGGGTGTGCTGCCTCTGCTGTGTGTGGCTTTTGTGTTCCCAGAAAGCAGCTTAGAGCCACAGGATGCACTTGGTGACTGATGTGATGGGGAGTTGAGTCGCTGAAAGGAATGCGCCCCTCCCAGGGTCACAGTTCCGCTTCCAGTGCCCCCTCTGGGTAGAGATTGTAGCCTTTGCATGTGGTTGGACACTGGCCAGATTTTCTTCTCAGAATTTATGAAAACCAGGAAGGGAAACCCCTTCCCATGTGAGTACCAGTTGCATGGTGGAGGCCCACGGTGTTAATCCTCAGTTGCTGTGCGTGCTGCTGTCTCTGTGGACATTGGCTCCTTCTGTCTTGAGTTAACGCCCAGTGAGTGATGCTACTGAACGTATCTTTAGCAATAAGTGGACTTTGACTGGCTGGACTGAATGTTGCCCTAGTTCGTGTCCTCTGGCCTCTGAACGTAAGGCTTCGGGGAGAGAAGAGAGCTCAGAGAAGATGACAGCTCCTGCCTGGAGTGGCAGTGGACTGAAAAAACAAAGAAAGCTGCATGATTCCCAGAAAGATGACATGATGGCCAGGAGAACTGGGATGTCTCTTAGACACAGTGGCTCCAACCCAAACCAGTTCCTTCCGGTTCCATTTGCAAAGCAGCAGGAAGTGGAGGAATCTGCCAAGGGCCCACCCACGAAAGATAAGAGGTCAGAAGATTGTCCTGTGCCCTGTTTCTTGTGACTTTGTTTCTCCCTTCTGAGCCTTGATACATGCTTTGAATGTGTTTATTAATGTGTTATGGTGCAACAATGCCACTTACTTGCTACTGCTTACAGCAACCGAGTGATAAAAAACTGGCCCAGTCTGCTAAGAAATTGTTTTCCTTTTTTTTTTTTGCATGGAAGCAGGTGTGGAAAGAATAGTTCAGTTGTGAGTTTTTCTGTTAAACTTTCTTTTTTACTCTCATCTGTGTGCACGCTACACGAGAAGCGCTTTTGTTTCTTCCCAACTCACATAGGAACCTTTGGGTAAAGGGGCTGAGCCTCTTTCTGATCTGCTTGATTTCACTCTGATTCTAAGCGGGTCTTCCAGCCCAAAGAGGATGCATGCCACTTACAAAATCTGTGAGTGAATGTCAACATTAGGAAACAGTGTTTTCTAGACGTGGGACTTCTGTGCTGTGTTGTAACTTGATTTGAAGTGAAGATAGGGAAGTAATAAACCTGGGTTCATGGTCTGGTTTAAGGTCCTAGAGCAGCGCTTCTCAACCTGTGGGTCATGACCCCTTTGCGGGTCGAATGACCCATTCACAGGGGTCGCCTAAGACCATCGGAAAACACATATATAATTACATATTGTTTTTGTGATTAATCACTATGCTTTAATTATGTTCAATTTGTAACAATGAAAATACATCCTGCATATCAGATATTTACATTATGATTCATAACAGTAGCAAAATTACAGTTATGAAAA